AAACAAGCCCTATATGGGTTAAAACAATCACCTAGAGCCTGGTTTCGAAGATTCTCCAAATTCATGCTTATTAATGGATATCAACATATTCAAAGGGACCATACACTATTCTTTAAACACTCGAACACAGGAGGTGTCACAATATTGTTAATGTACGTGGATGATATTATCTTGATTGGAAATAATGAAAAATAGAAAGATAGTCTATGAAAAAAGTCTTACCAAGGAATTTGACATCAAAGAACTTGGTAGACTAAAATACTTTCTTGTAATAAAAGTAGCTCACTCCAGCAAAAGAATCTTCATCTCACAACAAAAGTGCATTAAAGATCTTCTGAAAGAAACATGAAAACTAGCCTGTAAACCAGCACCGCCATAAGTAGAACAGAATCTCAAATTAGGAGAAGATAAAGAAGATCCAGATGTAAATAAAGGAGCCTACCAAAGACTTGAAGGGAAATTGATCTACCTTTCTCACACCAGACCAGATATAACATTTGCTGTCAGTATATACAAAATCTAAAATAGGTCCATATGCAAGAAGTAGATAGCATACTGCATTACCATAAAAGTAACCCAAGAAAAGGGATTCTCTTTAGAAAAGACCAAGAAATAACCCTAGAGGCATACATTGATGTTGATTATGCATGATCACCAGTGGACAGGAGATCTGCTTCTAGGTACTGCACATTCCTTGGAGGAAACCTAATCACATGGAGAAGCAAGAAGCAAAACATGGTGGCAAGATCCAATGCAGAAGCAGAATATAGAGCTATGATCCTTGGAATATATGAGGTACTATGAATCAAAATGATTATAGAAAATCATGAACCAAATTATAGAGAACTACTTTATTTTAACAATTAAAATAAATTAATAAAGTAAAAACTATGGTCCCATTAAATTCTCTCATATATTTTAGCCATAAAGTTTTCAATCATACTAATACATTTCAGCAAACCAAGTTAACTATAAGCATTATCAGATATCACTGCGGAATTTGCATTAAAGTACAGAACACCTTATTCATGAATCTTGACTTCATACGTACTACATAACCATTGTTCCTAGTACAATTATTTCTTGCAATCAATCAGGAGGTTCACGAAAGAACAAACATCAACTATGTAGAATGCATTGCTACCACCAGACAAACAGACCGCATCAACAATGCAAAACATACATTTAAATAAACTTTTGTGGGTTTGAATTCATTAGAAACGATGCATTTTTGCTTATGAATCCAAACTTAGTAATTTGCAATTTTCAGTCCATATTACCATAAAATTTAACAAGCAGGTATTCAACTCCATACTTAGTCACGACTTGAGCAGATGCATTGAATGAAAGGTCCTAAGCAAGCAAAATCAAATGTAGACTACAATATTTATCCTTTATATCAAGATTGATTCAAGGGACGAATACAATCATCCATCAAGCTTGAGAACCAAGCCCATCCATGTCTTTTTGCTTGACCTTGCCATTTACTTAGCAAACTAGTAAAATCACAACTAATTGAGAAAGTTAACTATTTTAATAACAGAAACCAAAGTGTGGCACCAAATCATTAAAAGCACCATTAACAAATCTTACATGAATCCCTAGTAGTAATGACGTTATCGCTGGATGTTGATACATTTAATACATATTGTTGTCAAATATGGGCTGTTTCTCAACTGTTAACATCTTAAATAAAGCTACAAAAGATTTAAAAATTGCAATTGAATCATACTTAATGAAAGAGACACATACACAAATAAATAGCCAGATGCAGTAACCCGTCAGAAATTTTTCATACTAAATTATTGAAAACAATAAATTCACAAAAATGAGTGCATATGGCTTGGCCTTTAAAATTCTGCAAGCTCTATTAACTTTGGGAACCTTCAAAGTTACCTAACTCTGGCTCCACTATCCATTGCTCTCAATGTCCAACATAATTTAATCACATTTATGACTTAGCATTCTTAAATTGAAAGCTCACCCAACCCGACAAAAACCAGAAAGATCCTTCTCACAAAACGTTCTTAGTCTCCCAATGCAATCAACTCCCAATACACACCATTTATCAATTTCCCTCTTTCTCTAACATTTTTCTGTTGACAAACCCCCCCCCCCCAAGCCTTGCTTTTCTTTTTTTCTTTTTTACATGATCTTTTCTCCTCTGAAATGGGCTCTCCCTCACAACACATACTTTTTCCATTCCCTTCTATTCTAGAAGGTTCCAAGCCCACTACTCCATGCCACCAACACCAACTCGCCTGCTTTTCTTCCTTCTCCATTTTTTTTCCGCAATGTTGTATACTAATGATGTGGACATCCGACCGGGAAAGTTTATTAGAGAATGAGCCGAAGATCAATAGTCATGATTGTACAACTTTATTTTGAGTTATTATTTATATTTTAATTTATTTATGCATTTTTTAATTTTTACTCTCACTTGAGGGAGTAGGCCTATGTGATCTCAAGGGGCACTTTTGTCATTTGTCTTATTATTGTATCTTGGCTATTTATAGCCTCGTCTTCTTTTTGAGGGGAGGGATGATTATTAAGAGAAAATCCTGCACTTTTTCTTAAGAGCTTTGAGAGTTTTTATGAGAGTTGAAGTCCCTAGTTGAAAGCAACGTACTACCGACCAGCTACAGGAAACGTCTGGGCTCGTGGTTTGAAGTCTCTAAGTAAGAGCAAAGTATTACCCATCAGCCATAAAAAGCATTCGGGCTCATGGTTTATCTTTTCCACCGACTCCCTCTCCTCCTCCCCTAGCCGCCACCTTCATCTCGCTCTGATATCATTCCTCTTTCCTCAGTCCTTCCCCACCTCTCGGCCCAACCACCTCCACTTTCCCCAACCTTTGGTTGAACCCTTCCCCCACCCAACCATCGGCCCCACAACCTTCCTAGCCGCAGGCAACCATCCCCCCCGGGCTCTAAAATTTCAACACCAAGCATTCATTACATTCCTAATTTAAATTCTTATAAATTTGGAAAGTTAAATAATTTTGAATTTGAAATCTTTCCTAAAAGAAAAGAGTTATGTTAAGAAAGTTCCTTCAATCATGGTATTTGAAATTCAAATAGATAATTACTATGATTTCTTTCCCTAATTAATATTCCAATATTGGCAAGTCATTAAACAACCCACCTTTCCCCTTCTATTTCAAATTTTAAATTTCAAATGCATAGTCACTATTTTTCAGAATTAGCGCATTTTAAATTAGAAAGGTTTACAAATCAGATTTTAATTTATTCAAATTCTGAAATCTCCTTCCTAAAATTACATGAGTTATATTAGGAAATCTCCCCCAATCATGACAATTTGAACTTAATGGGAGATTGCTTTAATTTCCCCTCCCATAATTGATAGCCTAAGATTGACAAGTCATACACTCCAATCAAGTCTCCATCAAACATGACGGCACCTCCTCTCTCATTTTCCCTTTTTGCTCCTCCCAATTAAGTCTCTCAATAAATTACTCCAAAGATTTATGATTTGATTTAATTCCTATTTTCTTAATTGAGATATCATAATTGGCAACTCTATTAAATCAATAATCCCACCCCAATTATAGCTAGCTTGGTTCTACATCAACTAATCCATCCCATATTTAAAACAAGCTGGACACTAGCTTAAGCAAAGTAGTGGCTTGGCTTGGTTTGAGATAACAAATAGGTGGTTTGAGATAACAAATAGGTAGCAACAGTTTGATTTTGGTTGGATAAAAAATGATTTATCCCTAAATCCTAAATGCTTTCTTTTGTGAATCTACAATTTGTTATATCCACATGCTCCTACAGCAACAAACATTAAGTATGCGCTGGTTATACTTCACTATTCATTGCACTTCCTCGTCCATCTATCATTCTCAGTAATTTCACACATCAACATGTCAACCTTGTCTTCTCACACCCTTTTGCCTCGTTCTCAATCAACCCACAAATTAATAGTTTATTCCAACCAATTTGTTACCAAACCTTTGATCAGCACAAAACTAGCCTAGAACAAGCTGAGACAGGCATAGGTTAGTAAATTTTTAATGACATATGGATCACTAAGAATACCGAAGTAGTGATCAATAGATCAATTCACAAAACCTACTAAAAAAGTTAGGCTAGAGAGTCAACCACAAATACTTCTACATCAAGTAAGTTTTCATTATTAGATATAGGAAAAGATATCCCGTTCATCCATAATCTCTCAAACCAACTTTTGGTTAGAGCCAAGGTTTGGCTAAGCTTGATTAACTGATGTTTACGATAGTTTCTTGTCAACTCTACAGAGTTGAGCATGTTTGATTAATTCTTGTGTTGGCTCGCATAGTTAGTCATCTATTAGGTACTTCTTTGGAGTAGTAGGCTCGAGTTATGTAAGAAGTATGAATGAATATATTTGTGGATATTAACTCACTTTCAGAGAAAAAAAAATCTGCCAATGGGTTAATCAAACATAAAAATGATCTTTAAAAGAGAGATCATAATTAAGCAACATGAGTTAATACCACAAGGGAGACTTTAAACATTGACCATCTATACCTTCAGACTACAGCCTTCTCATGAGTTTCCATCTCTTCGCATCTAAATCAGAGCATACTCTGCTTTCCCCTACCTAAAGATAGGGACTAAGTCAAAATATCAGTCTAGGATTCACAATTCCAACCATTTCTATTATGTTGCCAAGCCAAACATGCCACTTCAAAAGTCTATGTCAAATAATTGGTCTTATTTCCTATACCCGTTTTTTCAACATCTATGCGGACAAACCAATAACGGTTACGCGTTAGTGTTTAAATAATTACACTCAAGCCAAAAAAAGGTTTTGGCAAGATAAAAAATAATTAAGTCTGACCGCTTTTCCAATCCAGATTACGTTCTCACTTGAGGAAAACAAATAGGGTTCAAGGTTCGAACATCCGCGATAGCATCCGACATCCACTAATTGAACCGAAATTAAAAATAAAAAATAGAATTTAAAGGCCAGGATAATCAAGAAAGGGAGCTCACATGAGGGTTTGTGTATGGGTGGGTGCGCCTGAAAGAATACGGTAGATTTCAGAAACCTTTTCCTCCACCTTGAGCTGCTCCAACTGCGTTACTGTAAGCGTTATCTGCTGGTGATCGCGGTCAGAGTGAGGAGGAGAGGAAGTCGAAGAGGACAATCCAGAGGATGCGTTAGATGACGAGTCGATGGGAGAAGACTCCATGGATATTGGATTCAAGTGATGGAGACACGAAATGGACCTTGGATCTTTCCTTCTTGCCGTGGCTTCTTGAATAGGGGTGGGAAGAGGCGGAGGTGAATGGCAGTGGGGATTGAAGCACGGTATATATTGGGGAATTTTCCTACATATTATTAACTATTATTATTTATTATTATTTCCTCCAAAAATTATTATTATTATTATATTGAACTATTTTAATTTAACTATTATTATTAACATAAAAATAAATTTAATGCAATTGTTGTGCTGAGGCAATAATATTCATTATCATCCTCTTGCACTTAAATGTCAACTTATTGGTTGCTACCTTGTTTATAAATTTTTCATTAAAGCATTCAGATTTTTTTTAGAATTTGATATACTTTGAAGGTTGAAGGTTGAAGGTTGAAGGTTGAAGATGAAAATTATTATGTTGTAATTGTTTATACGATGAATTTCTATATGAAAAAAATTAATTTCAAGAAAATGTACATTTATCAAAAAAAAGTAAAACATAAGAAGAGTTTCAAATTTATCGATAAATTGAAGGGATTTTTACATGTATAACACTTAAAACTGCTATATTTACCTATTAAACATCTAAAGTTACCTATTTATTAATATACCATCTCAAACTATCATTCTAAAACTTTTATAGCATTTCCGTCAGGTTCGTTCCCTCTCCCGTTCGCCACTCCGCCCTTATTCGCACATCCGCCCTCTCTAGGCACTCGTTCGCCTCTTCAACGTCGGAGCTCACAACTAGGCCCTTCTTAAACGTTCGACACTCACCTCTTCAAGGTCGGAGCTCGCCCTGTTCGGCCTATCGCACGGCAGGTTATTCCTTCCAGTTTTTTTTTTTTTTTTTTTGTTAACAGTTTTATATTGGACTGGTTAATATGAAGTTTTGGTTGTTATTAAGTCCATTTGGCACCATGTTATAGATCTTATGCATTAGTTTTTTAGGGTGAACTTCTTAAGTTTTCATTAACTATGTTGTGTTTGTAATTTTAGAAATGCACAATAGGTTAAGTTCCAACAATTATTCAAGAATCTTGGCATCCTTCATCAGTACTCATGCCCGTACACGCCGGCTCAAAACGGAGTTGCAGAAAGGAAGCATCGGCACATAGTTGAAACCATGCGCAGCATCCTACTTGACGCCAACCTTCCAATCAAACTATGGGTTGAAGCCATGAACGCCTCGGTTTATCTAATCAATAGACTACCGTCTAGAGCTCTTCAGAACCGAAGTCCATACCAGATATTATACCAAAAACCGCCAGCCTATAATCATCTCAAGATCTTTGGGTGTCTCTGCTACCCATGGCTCCGACCCTACAGCACATCCAAGCTCTCACCGTTTTCCATCCCGTGTGTCTTTATAGGCTATGCATCGGCTCAAAAAGGGTACTGCTGCCTCGATCCAAAAACAGGCAAAGTCTACATATCCAGGCATGTTATCTTTAATGAGGCTATTTTTCCCTACCATCAACCTAATCTCAGCCTCCAGAATGCGTCGGTTTACCTCATCAACAGACTCCCGTCTCGAGCTCTCAAGAACCAAAGTCCATATCAGATATTATACCAAAAACCGCCAGCCTATAATCATCTCAAGATCTTCGGGTGTCTCTGCTACCCGTGGCTTCGACCCTACAGCACATCCAAGCTCTCGCCGTTTTCCATCCCGTGCGTCTTTATAGGCTATGCATCGGCTCAAAAAGGGTACCGCTGCCTCGATCCAAAAACAGGCAAAGTCTACATATCCAGGCATGTTATCTTTAATGAGGCTACTTTTCCCTACCATCAACTTGATCTCAGCCTCCAAACTACCTCCTCAAACAACTTCGTCCCACCCCTCCTCCTTGTACCCACCACAATAAATCAGCCTCCCACCTCTTGTTAACCAGCCAACACTCAGCCTCGGCAATCTTGCCCTGTTACTCCTCCGGTTCCTCACTCAACCACCGACATCCACTCAACCATTCAATCCAACAGACCTGAATCACATTGCTCTTTACCTATTCCCAATACTACTGCCATTCCAATTACCTTACCTCAATCTCAATCTACACACATTATGAAAACTCGATCCAAAATAGGGCATTCAAAGCCGAAGCAGATTTTCTCTCTTGCCCATACTACTCAAGACTCCGATCCAACAACGTACCGTGAAGCTCTGAAGTCTCAGCACTGGCTCAAGGCTATGCAAGTTGAATTCCAAGCTCTTCAATCCCAACATACATGGGACTTGGTTCCTCCGGACTCAACACAAAATGTGCTAGGTTGTAAGTGGACCTACCGCACCAAGTACCTCGATGATGGATCCGTTGCACGTCACAAAGCCCGCCTTGTGGCTCAAGGTTTCTCCCAAGAATATGGCCTCGACTACGCTGAAACATTCAGCCCCGTTGCCAAAATACCAACGGTCCGGATTCTTATAACCATAGCAATGTATCGTCAATGGCCGCTCCATCAACTCGACGTGTCAAATGCCTTCCTTCACGGCAATCTCAGTCATACCGTTCATATGAAACAACCCGTTGGATTCATCGACAAGAACTTTCCGAATCATGTCTGCCGATTGCGAAAGTCACTGTACGGGTTAAAACAGTCTCCGCGTGAGTGGTTCGCCACTCTTTCCGGTTACCTCCAGACTCTTGGCTTCAATTTCAGTGACTCGGATCCATCACTCCTCATCTACAACCGCAACGGCATCCAAATGTTCTTCCTCGTTTACGTAGATGACATACTCCTTACCGGCAACAGCAACTTGGACATTCAGAACCTGCTGCGCAATCTTCAAAATAAATTCACTATGCGGGATCTCGGCTCCATTTCTCAATTCCTGGGCATTCATGCGATACCTACCTCATACGGGCTTCATCTTACGCAAAGCCAATTCGCTCAGTCCATACTATCCCGCGCTGGTATGTTAAACTGTAAACCCGTCTCTACTCCCTCGCAAATACAAACACCTTCCTCGTCCAATTCGTCCGCTGCATTTTCTAACCCAACTCTTTACCGTCAACTTGCCGGATGTCTTCAATATCTCACTCTTACACGACCGGACATCGCCTATGCCGTCAACAAGATCTGTCAGCATATGCAAAGTCCAACAAATTCACATTTCGAAGCTCTCAAAAGATTACTCCGGTATATTCAAGGATCCCTTCATACAGGTCTTCCAATATTCCGAGATGCACCGATCCTTCAATCCTACGCGGACTCAGACTGGGCAGGGGATGCCGACGACCGAAAATCAATCTCCGTTCTTTATATCGTTTCGCTCGAAATTTCGAGACGAATCTAACGAAATTTATTTCGTTGAATTCCGACGACATCGAAATTTCACTTAAGTTCGTCGCGGCGCATCGATATGCGTGCGACGCACTCAATTGACGAATTTCGGGTTTTACATGAATGTTATTGGAGCATTTGTATATTATGCTTATTTGGCATCATGCTAATACAGATAAAAAACATGCTTATTCGGCTTGGGTACAGCAAAATTAAACAACAAATATAAACAGCAAATAGCGCATTCATTTACTGATAGGGAACTAGCTGAATGCCGCACGGCTGAATGCCGCAAGGTACAACAGAAAATTGCTTCGGTGCAGCAAAATTACCCATTCATTTACTGATAGGGAACTAGCTGAATGCCGCACGGATTTATATCATCACGTAGCTGAATGCCGCAGTAACATAATAAAATACATAAAACAGAAGCAAGAAATCTTGGTTTAAAAGTCATACAAATTGTAAATATCATAATTGGTTCAAAAGTCATACAAAATACAAGTATTTGATCAAGATTAAAACATCAGTCTAAAGCCAAAATACAGAACAAAAAACTGTAGGTATTTGACTCAAAAGTTAGAATTATAATTTGAGCGCCGAATGGGTAATTTTGAAGCACAATCAGTTTGAATATCTTGTCCTTCAAAACTTATAGGTTCCTTGCAAGTACTTCTATGGTGTCCCCAAGAATTGCATCGACCACATTTATGACTTATTTTTGATTTCTTTGCACCCTCCAAGAAGTTCTTAAAGCGTCTTTTCTTTGGTCGTCCACGAGGTCTAACTGTAATAGGTGGACAAACAAAGTCGCCATCAGTTGGTACAGACCATTGTTCCTTCCCCGGAAGTGTTGAAATGGCTCCATCATAAGCCATTCGGTACTTACAAAATAGTTTTGTTGTTAAAACAATGACAATTACCATCATTCACATAGGTAGAAATTGAAGAAGTTAAGAGTACCTGTAAACTTGATAGCTATCATTAACATATGTGTGCCATATGGTATGATGATTACTTCCAACAAATGCTGTGGCGTGCACACAAGGTAAACCTGATAACTCCCAAAATCCACAACTGCACAAGTGGTTGTCTATGTCCACCTCATGACCCGAAAGGCATAGAATTCCTTATAGACTTCAAGCTCTGTAAAATCCAAAAAATCGAGAATACTGCTGTAGCGACAAAGCTAGACTACATGTCTCTGTACTTAGCTAAATAAAAAAAATTTTCTACACCAAGATGATCTGTTTTGGTTCGCGATAGAGCTCGAATAAAAATCGAAACTGAAAGATCTTCTTCTACAATGATTTTCATTCATAGTATCTTCATACCTAGGCAATGTTGCGAGGGGATTCCGTCTATTTCGATGTGAAACCTGGGAAGACGAAGGTGATTGAAATGGTGCAAGGGCAGTATCAACGAAGAAGAGAGGAGATTCCCGCGCTATTTCGACTTCGCTTTGACGGAATGAAATGGAGTGTTTTTTTTATTAGGTTAAAGGTTTTGAGGTGGTACATTAGTAAATAGGTAACTTTAGGTGTTTAATAGGTAAATATAACAATTTTAAGTGTTATACATGTAAAAACCCCTAAATTGAAATATGCTGCGTGGCATCTTCTTAAAGATGCAACGTTATTCAAATCAATTTTCATAATTATTGTTTGTTTTTTTTTCTAGGTATCAAAATTTTATTCGGTTAAAATTTTAAATTTTGAGAATCCAAAAATTTGAGGACCTTTAATTAATTATTTTCTTAATAGTGAACTCGAGTTAAATGCAATGTTTTGAAAATCGGACCGGACCGGCCGGTT